GCGACTGGGAAAAATATCAGAGGAAGGACGTCGAGAAAACTCCCAGCGATTTTCCCACGGCCTGGATGTCGTTTCTGTCTTAATTCCGCCCCCCCCGCCCCCCGGGATATCTGCTGTTGCAATGGAAGTTCCGTACCCGGAGAACCGAATTTCCAAGTGCACGTCGTGCCGACTGCAGCCAGCAACTCCTTTGTCCATGTTCGTTTCAGCCACGCGCCAGGCGACGAACACGTCCGTTGTGGTGTCTTACAGATCGCAAAACCAACGTTTCGGCGGGTCGTACTTCCGTCACCTTCTGGGTAGATGCAGAACGAAATTAACCGGCTTCGGTTTTGTGTTTCAAGGGTTATCAGCGTCGAATTATAAGGCAAGATGGTCGTGAATGGTTGGAAGGACTCGTTCGAAACCTATTTCAAGGTGTTATCCCGGGCAGACTGAGGAAAGCCACGGAACTCTGCGATATTCGTATTCGAACCGGGTACCTCCGAAACGTCTGTTCTCAAGAAAATCCTCTCAAAACACTCGGTCGTTTTTATGATTTTCAAAGTATCCCAAAACTCGTAGGTTTTTTTAAGACGAACTCGACCCATAAACCCTGACCTTAACATCCGAAAGAGGGTCGGTCATTGCCACCGCATTCCAGTGATCCTCTCAGCGACGCGCGAAGTAAAAGGCAGATGAAGAGGTCCAGGGGCTGTGAAACACCGCAGAATGTCGTTCTCGGGTAAAACTAAGCAAAACGCGCCCCCTGACGACTTCGCACGGGGGTGGACCTGACCTAGTTTTGATATTGCAGCTCGTGATTGTTTAAAACGACACAACGGTGCTGTCAGCCAATGGCGCCTCGCGTTCGTTCGTTCGTTGTCACGCCCTCCGCCCAGCGCTCACTGTAAAACCGAGTCAGTTGAGGAAGTGTCGTTGTGTGAGCTTAAACTCGTGTCTTGGTAACATTAAACCTCAAAACTGGCGTCTCGTCGAGAGTAAATCGGCAGCGATTACACGTGTTATATTAAGATTCTGGAGGGCTGGAATGATGCGTGTTCTAATTGAAGCTCTCTGGCCTTGGAAGACGATTTAAACTAAAAATTTTCAGATGCGTCTCAATTCCCACCCGCCCCCTCCCACCCACCATATCTCCGCGGGGCAGAGTTCTGACGTCAATGGAGTGATGGTAGAGAAAAAGACAGCCCACCGTTTAGTCCAGATTCCAGTCCGTCGATTTACACGCAAAAAGGAATCCGTCCGGCGTCTGCGCAGAAGAAGCAGTCAACAGCAAATGCGAGTACATTAATTCTTTTGTTTCGCTTCGTTAAATTTACAGAAATACAAGACATTTTGCAACAAAGGTCTCTATATTTTATCTGGGAGAGCTTTCAGTTTTGTGGTGACAAAGTTCGACATCAGCTCCATAAGTAAAATATTAACAATGGACGAGCGTAAACTAAGGATCTGTCTTCCGTGTCCTGCACGAATCCTGTGCCAGAACGTCGGGCCATTCTATGCCACTGCCTGTATTTCGGCGATCAGATGCCAGCACCAGAAAACAGCTTACAAGGCCCCCATTCACGCAGGAGACCAGCCAGCTAGGTGGAGTGTAATGAGAATCAGTGGTGACTGCTCTGAAATGGCGTCCCCTTCCCCTCCAACCCACGTATCAGATAGTCGCGTCCCTGGCAACGAGCAACGCCACATCTGGACACACTCAAACAACATTCATATTTGATCCACGGTACGGGTACTTGATACCTGTCCATTTGTATCCGGTTTTGCCAACAGCTGTGGCTTCCGCCCCAAAGACTCCTCCTTTGCTGGTTGCACTGAACTTCGTTTCTGCACTACAAGCCAACTCATGTCTCCGGACTCAAACTCAGTCCTTTGAAGGGAAAGCAGTCAGCGATACTGATAAGGCTGGGATATAAACATATCTTGATTTCTAAAAACTGAACCTTCGCATTCTATTAATACCCTGTGACCCAGCCTTCTTACACAACTACAAGGCGACAGAATGACAGAGTAATTTGGTTATGTCAGGTGTAACACAATCCAACCTTTAGACCCTATAAAATTATACATACTCCCATATGAAGGATGATAACATGAACAAATACAGGCACAATATAATGAAGGTTACTGCTCACGTGATGACGGTCTAAAAAATATGCATTGTGTTTCAGACACGCTTCATATTATTCACGAGGTCCACGGCTAAGTTCATGTTGTCCTGAAAATAAACGTACATAACACAAAACATTCTTCATGTTACTGTCTACAACTGTTGTCTAAAACATTTTTACAGACTACGATTTGTTTTGAAGAAGAGGCGCGCGCACTTGCACACCCCCATAATCACTGGTCAGCAAATGAGACAAATTGTTTTTATTGTTTCAGATGCAGCGCAGCGCGTGGTTGCCAAGAATGCAGTGGTGGAGATGGATGGCGATGAAATGACCCGTATTATATGGGCCAGTATCAAAGAGAAGCTCATCTTTCCATACGTTAAGGTACGAGACCATCGCAGTCAGAACTAAATTAATGAAAATATACAGGGCCTTCTCTGGACTAATGCAGATAACACTTTCAGCTGAAGCATTTATCACAGGTAAAAATTGGGCATTTTATGGTCACCAGGGATATCCGTTGCCTTTATATAATCTACGACTGCTGAATGCCAAAATTTACTCTTTTATATCTAAACCAGGAATGAATATGTTTTTTTTAAGTTGGTAGTAAGATGAATGAGAGGATGATATTGAACTGGAAAGGAAGTGGCAGTGGCCTAATTTCAGGTACTATCCTGGCATTTGCCTGGAAAGGCTGAGGAAAACCACGAAAAAAAACCCAGTCAAGATAGCCGGTCTCCAGGCCGAGATTTGATCCCGTCACCTCCTGAATATGAAGCGGGAGTGTTAATCGCTCGACCACGACGTTAGGTCAGATTGATGAGATGGGAAGGACATGTAGCAGGCACTGCAGAAGAGAGATTAATTTGTCAGTAGCCTCTTGGGAGACCTAGTAGTAAATGCGAGAATAACATAAGAACTGGTTTTAAATAAATTCCGTGTGATGACGGACTGAATTCAAGTGGCTGGGGTTGAAGTCCAGTGGTGGGCTCCTAGGAACATATCAAAAGTGGGGAACTTCTTGGCAGGTTAAGTGAATATGAGCTTCTCAGGAAGGAATTTACATAATGTAACTAGTTAGAATTCTTTGAACTGTTCTCTTCACACCTCTATTTTAGTCTTTGAAATGGCCATCTTGTTAACACTAAAATTCTGTTTACTTTACCACATCTGAGCCCACAAGTTCAGCTCATAACATACCTTAGTCTAACTAGCCAGTTCCCATTATGTACTATCGTGCTAGCAGGTACCTGTAATCTATATTGACAGCTTGCTATTAGAGACCACATGTGCAAACAGTCTCTCATTGTGTGCACAAAGTAATTGTTTTTTGTGTCCCCTAGGTCGAGAGTCTGTACTACGACTTGGGACTGCCCCATCGTGATGCTACTGATGACCAAGTTACCATAGACGCCGCGTATGCCGTTCTCAAACACAATGTAGGCATCAAGTGTGCTACCATCACTCCAGATGAGGCTCGAGTGGAAGGTAAATGTTCGGTGTTTACCAAAGGAAGCAATAACGGAAATGTTCGGGTTGCTGCCTTCTGAAGCAAGTCAGTTAGAGTTACAAATTTGTACTCATCTGATAATGTCGGGGTGACCAATGAAAGAAAGATTATATACACACATGGGAGGAACAGATATAACAGATTGGCTGCAAAATGTCATGGGAAGAAACCACTTGGGAGATCTAGGCATAGATGGGAGAATAATATTAAAATAGATCTTAAAAGAATCAGGCTGTGAAGAGTATGGTCCAGTGTTGGATTTAGTAGACGGTGAAGATTTCTTGACCAGCTGAGGAACTACTGGTTTTTCAAGAAAGATCCTGTATAATGGTGTGAGTGAGTGAGTGAATTGCTAAGTTAGTCAGAATTAGGACTTCATTAGCTGAAACTGACAAGATGTAACAAGGTCATAAGGGCAGCAAGTTAGTTGTTTTAAGACAGTTTCCTGCTGCGGCCTGTGGCTTGGAACAAGATACGACAGGTTGAAAGTGAGTGATCTATAATATGTTACTAGCATTCACAAAAATTAACAAAGTGAAGCTACACTACCTCATCCGGAATTCAAACTGCGTCAGTACTACAGCAGTCATGGTGACAAGATCACCACTTAGTATCCATTCTTTCATATACAGCACACTTTGTATTTTGCTCGGTTCACAGCCACAGCTCAGGCATAAACACCGAGAGAATCTGCAGACATGTATTCAGGAGGTACCTAGTTAAAATCTTGACCTGGTTGATGTTTTTTGTGGTTGTCTTTAGTGACTGCAGGAAAATTCTGGGATAAATACCTTCAAATGCTATGACGACTTCTTCCAAATCCTAATCCAATCCCTTTATGATCATTTTCCTGTGTAATTTTATGTTATATAACCTGTGCAGTTGAAACAGTGTAGCTAAATAACCCGTGAATCAATCAACAGACAATTCAGACATGAGGAGAGTGGACAGATAGGTAGATTTCCATTGTCCACCTTTTAGACTTGCAGATAACTGGAACATACTTGCTTCTTAGAAATTAAATAAATATTTCTAAGTGTGTACACTATGTCATCCTAGGCA